TAGCTTGTCTAGGGTGTAGTACAGGTGTGCTAGTTTGGGGTGCCATTAAAAAAAGTGTTGTGCACCTGCTGACTGAGACGATAGATAGTTAATCCTCCCAACGTTGGAGATTGGAAATTCCGGGTCAAGGTACCAGCTGGGCAGATTGCTTTTGAGGGCCAGGAGGGAGGGTTCTGCTGCAGGCCTTCCTCCTGGGCTTACAGATGGTCACCTTCATCCTGTGTGTTCACATGTCCTTCCTCTGCAGCCACCTTGTAACCTCATCCCCATCTCAGGCAAGAATACCAGTCACTGATTAGAACCTACTCCAATGACCTATTTTTACCCAAATATCTCTAAAGAATTCATACTCGTCTCATGCACTTGGGAGTAGGACTTCAGGGTATGCATCCTAGAGGCCTGGCATATGAGTTGACCTGTAACATGAGGCCCAATCAACGAGTCTTCAGGGCTCCTGGAGGCCTAGGGGACAGCCAGATGGTGTCTGGATTGAGGACTGAGTCTGTGCCTGTTCTGTCTCCCAGTTACAAAGGGACCAGAGCTGAGCCACACCTTCCCTACAAGCCTGTGCTCTTGAGTGCTGCCTCATGCAGGTCCCACTTGGTCTCAGGCCCTGGAGCCAGGGTGCTCAGGAAAAGTAGCCAGATTTACCATAGGAGCCCCAGAAGGTTTCCAGCTGGCCCTGTGAGCTGCTGGGACTGACCTCTGCTTATGCTCACCTAGTAGAAGGGAAGAGTCATGCTTGGGTGTAGGAAGCCTGTGGTCAGCACTAGTCACCTCCTAGAGTTCCTAGAAGTCCCCTCCATTGATAAGCTTCAGGCACAGTCCTAGAGAGTTAGCACAGGACCCTGCATGCAATATAAGTCCGTGGCCCCCCCACCCCCCCGGCCCAGGACACTGAGATGAACAGCAGCCATGGGTGTTAAAGTCTACACTCTGGATCCATGAGACAAAACATTTAGTGGAGTGAGTGTAGACCTCTGTCCTTACAGAGAAGCCACCTGCAATCCAGGGAAAGGGGGGTAAACTTCAGTGACCCAGGACAGGCCTGGGTCCTCTGTCATCTGTCTGGAACCACTTGGGTTCTCTTGAGCAGTCTGTCCCTGTCTGGTGACCCAGTGCAAACACAGCCTGGGTTCCTTGCAGCCAGACACATTCGTGGGAAACCTGATCCTGCCATGTTCTCAGAGTCCAGCACTTCCTTCTGGCCTCACATTCTCTCTTCATGGAAAAACCTCTGGTAGCCTATTTCCCATGAGCAGGTGCTGCCTGCCCCATGCAGACTGGCGACCTGTGTGAAAGGGGTTGACTTCCCTCCAAAAACCATGGCTGGCTTCCAGGGAAATGGAAGTCACCAGGAGGGCTTCCTGTGACAGAGGGTGTTCCAGCCTGGGCCCTGTTCTCAGAAGAGTTAGGGAAGCTCTCTGGTCATCACCTCATTGGAACCTCTACAGAGTAAAAGCCCCGCATTGGAGCCCCTATAAAGTAAAAGGCCCCTTCTTCCCCTTGCCTCATTCCCCCACGTGACCATCCTGCTGTGAGCTAGTCACTGTGTGGCTGTGTATGTGAATCTCTGTATGTGTGTATATGCACACATGTGTGTGTCCATGTGTCTGTCTGTGTGTTTGCAGGCTGAAGGATTATAGCAGAAACATGTGACTTTCTCATCCTAAGGCCAGGTCCTGAGGCTTCCCTGGCTCATTCCCTTGGACAAAGTCTGTTGGGATTCTGTTTTTGCTAGTTATATTATCCAAGGTTTTCTAGAGGAACAGAATTTATAGATTGAAAGTGTGTGTTGCGTGCGCACACACATACACACACACACACACACACACACACACACACAGAGAGAGAGAGAGAGAGAGAGAGAGAGAGAGAGAGAGAGAGAGAGAGAGGATTTATTAGAATAGCTATCAGGCTGTGGTCCAGCAAGTCCAACAATAGCTGTATGGTCTGCCGGGAACATCCAAGAACCCAATAGTTGTTCAGTCACAAGGCTGGATGTCTCAGATGGTCTTCAGTATACTCTAGATCCCGAAGAAGTAGTTTCTGATGTCAGTGAGGGAATGGACTGACCAGTGAGAGCGAGGGCAAACAGGCAAAGAGAGAGCTATCTTCCTTCCTCTGTGTCCTTTACATAAGCTGCCAGCTGAAGGTGTGGCCCAGATTAAAGGTAGATCTTCCCACCACAAAGAACTGGATTAGAAGTGGGTCTTCCCACTTTAAATGATTTAATTAAGAAAAAAGAATCCCTCACAGATAATGCCCAGTCACCTGGATTTTAATCCAAAATGTAGTCAAGTTGACAGCCAAGAATACCCATCACACCACTATAGAGGACCTTACCAGAAGCCATTTGTTGGCTTTTCTTATCACACCTAAAACCCACCCTTCTTTGCTCAGAGGGTATAATTTAGTCATCCCACTTTCCGTGTCTGTGGGGAAAGTCCTTGCTCTGGGGCCATTTGCCTGGAAATTGGGAATGAGTGCTAGGTGGGGCTCCATCCGGCTTGCATTTGGCTGCAAGTAACAGCAAGCCTGCCTCACAGTGGTTGACGCAGCCGGCCAGAGCTTATTTCCCCATGGAAGAAACAGAGGGTGTCCTGGGGGTGGGGGTCTGGTATTCTTTCTCCTCATTGCTGCAGATCCTTTCCGTGTCTCACTTCTATTGTGACTCCTCACCAGCCTCTTCCTTGTCCCCCAACAGTCATGCTGTTTTCACAGGGTCGTAGAGACCAAGATGTCATATAAGGAAATGTAGGCTGCTGATGTGTCTGTAGGAGTCTTGATGGGTAAACCTCTATTAGCAATGCTCTGTTGGTGGCATGGTGCAGCCTAGTGATGGTCACAGTGGTTGTGACCCTTTAGTGACTTCCGTGCATAGATATTGACTTGGTGTGGGAGAAAGAATTGGAAGCCCAGCAGCAAGCATTCGCCTACATCTCATCTAAGGGTGAACCGTTAGGATGAGCAAACCATACAGAATACAAGTTACAAATGGTCCTCCTTTGTTGCAGCAGAATTCTGGACCCCACCCTTCTCAGCAGTGGGCCAGCCAAGGCAGCTGAGGTCATCAGCTCTGCAGGACTTAATGCATGCTCTTCAGTGTTCCTCCACCCAGAGCTTGCCCTGGGCCAGCTCCTGCCAAGCTGAAGATACTCTGGGCTAGTGTTGGTCCCTAGGTGTGATGTGGCTTGGAATCTTCAGTGACCAAGTAACCTTTTGTGACCTCTTAAGGATCCAGGAATTACTGGTACACAGTTGTATTCCATTGGCGTCAAATGTATGAATTTAAGGATTGCCAATGAGCTTGCAGAGCAGGCCCAGAGAGGTCAGCTGGCACAAGAACCTGGTGTCCCCACATGTCTATACCCAATCCCACATCTGTGGCTCATGACTGCGAGATCCTGTACTGTGGCCCTCTACTCTCACATGGGCCAACTGTGTGCCCGTTCCCAGTGCAAGCAACGGTCAAACCAGCTCTTCACTGTCACCCTTCCCACGGGCCATCAACACTGGATCTTTTCCTATTACTAACGTTTAAAAGGGGGTACAGGCTTGAATTTAGGTTACCCTGATGAGGACAGTCTCACCTGAGACATTTTCCCATCTACAATGGCGTGTTCGTTACTTTCATTCTGGAGGTAACAATAGCAGTGTGAGGGAAGACAGGTTAAGTTTGGCTCACAATCTCAGAGAAATTCCACCCAGGATGGCAAAGGTGCCTGCTCTGTGCATGGTGTGCTTGAGCTTGGGGCAGCTTCTTTATGTGGAATGAGCCAGAAGAGGAGAAAGCTGGAACCAGGGGCAGATATAGCCACCAAAGGCCCGCCTCTCGTGACCTACTTTCAGCATCCACAGCCTTCAAAATCGCTCTACAAGCCATGTAACAAATGCTTCAAATGTGGGAGAGCTATGAGGGGTATTTCAGGGTCAAATCTAAGAAAGGGGCAAGATGGGAACACTGCCAGTGCTTCTCGGGGATCCTGTGTCACAGGAACCAGCAAGCCGCCGGCCCTCCAGACCTTCTGTCCTCCATCCTGTCAGGCCCAGGCCCTTTCTCATAGTGCTTTCAGAAGTTCTTGCATGTCCTGATGCCACTGGCACAAATGTGTGCTCACACGATCCTCCTTTCTGAGTGCTGTGGACAGACGTGAGTTGAAAGGGCTGCAGAATGCATAACTGGCTCACAATGCCCTCCTGGGCTTCCTGCAGCAGGAACAGACACAACACATCCCTTCACAGTGAGGCCACTGCTCAGGCACAGCTGGGCAGAACTCAGCAAGAAGCCTTGGTGGCCCGTACCTTTGGGGCAGGGGTGGGGGGATGCTACTTAAGAGTCTCATGATGGTGGCAGAGATCTCCCCCAAAGTTCTGGCTGCATCACTGCAGGAACACGGTGAGGGAACTTCCGGATGCAGTTGGCTGTGGGGCCACCCAGTGCTCACGCTTCAAAACCGGGAAGGTGGGGAGGGGGGCGGGTCATAAGGTCCATGCAGTGGCCTCTGACCTGAAAATCACTGGCCTTGCTTCACTTTCAGCTTGACTGTTCCGTTCCTGGGAGGCCCTAGGCGGTTCGCCAGTTTGCTAGTTACCCATTTAGTTGGGGTTTTATGGTAAAGTGTTACTGTGACCCAGAAGTCTGGGTTCTGGGCATCTGGCTGCTGAGCAAGTGGGGGTAGCATCCTAGGTGCCTCCTTCTTGTGCCTCCCTCTGATCAGCATCCCTGAACTTCATCAGCTCCAGACCCTACTCCACCCAGGGGATCCACAGAGAAATCTGGGAGAAGCCAGCCCCTCTACACTCCAGTGCCCCCCACCTCTATCTCTTGACATCATATTTGAGTATTGGTCTTCCTCCTGGGCTTTGAGGGTGCTCCCGGCTCCCCTCTCTTCTGTTCCTCAAGCAACCCTTTGAAACAGGCCAATTCTGACTTTGGTTTCCCATTTCTTGGTAGGTGGTGGGCAATCTCTAACCTTTCTGTTTTGTGTTCTTCACAGCTTGTGATTGCCACCCTGTGGGTGCCGCTGGCAAGACCTGCAATCAAACCACTGGCCAGTGTCCCTGCAAGGACGGTGTGACAGGCATCACCTGCAACCGCTGTGCCAAAGGCTACCAGCAGAGTCGCTCCCCCATCGCCCCCTGCATCAGTATGTGTACCCCCTCCTCCCTTCTGCTTGGGTCGGGGGACCCTGTGGGAGCTGGTTGCTGATATCAGTGGGTTTAGCTATCATCAGTGGGTATGTTTTCAATCACCCCTGCTCAGTGAGATCCTGTGAGAGACTCCAGGCCTGAGGGTTCCTTCAGAAGTGGCTATGTACCTTAGAGCCAGCTTATCCATAGCACCTAGTACAGACAAACACTGAGTCACCAGCTCAGGGGGCGGGGGCCAGCATGAATCCCATTCCTATACTGCACTTTGACCCTAGACCCTGTGCTGGATAGGGGCCTGCCGCAGCTGCAGATTCAGAAGAGAGCAGACCAAAAAAGCCTTGGGCCTTTGAGAAAAGTTACTCAGACTCTTGTTCATGGCCCTGTGAAGGATTACTAGAGAGCTGGAGTGGGGGGTCCCAGAGAGGCGGTTCCATGGACAGGGTGGGTCATCCTGGCCTTGGCTCTCAAGAGTCTCTGTATTTCACATCTGGTAGGTCATGCTGCTGTGACCACCAGCAGAATGAGCTCTGGCTGGCAAGTGAAGCTTAACCTGGAGAGGCCCAGCCTCATCCTGGTGATTCCTGGGCTAGGGCTGACCAAGCCAAGAAGGGATGGCTGGCGCAGAGGAGCAGGAGAATCTCAGCAAATACGCCAGAGCCCAGGGAACCAAGTGGACTCTAGAGAGTGGGCTTGGCGAGCTCCGCCCAGGGAGCTGGCAGCCGCCTGCTTTTGAATGGCACAGTGCCTCGAACCTTTTTAATGATTCAAACAAAAATCAAAGGAATGATACTATTTCAAGACACAATAAAAGCCATGCAAAGTCACCGGGCACGGTGGTATGAGCTTGTAATCCCAGTGCTTGGGGGGCAGAGTGCAGGTTTGAGGTTAGCGTGGGCTACATAGTGAGACCCTGTTTATAAAAAAGAGAAAAAGGAAATGACAAGGACAAGCTTTCGTGGAACAGCATAGCTGCAGCAGATATAACCCACAGAGCCTGAAATACTACTGCTCAGCCCCTTTCAGATGTCAGTTAGTCTGACTGCTGAGCTTCTCGGAGTCCTAGTTCCCCAGCAGGCTCCTGGGACTGGTTAGTGATGGGGATTGGGGCTGGGGCCTGGAGCCTCTTTATGCCAGGAGCCACCACCAAGTCCTAGAGTGTTCCTCACAGAAGTTACAGTTGTCATCCCTGCCACAAGCAGGTAGGAGCCTTCGACAGTCCACGTGTCACTTATGTGTTCTAAGCTGTCCCACTTCATGTGGCCTTTGCTTCCAGAACAAGTCAGCTCTGTTGGTTCCAATGGCAATTATGACCAGTCTGTGAGTCAAGAATTTTTGCCAGGGTGTCCCTGCAGGTCCACAGATAGCAGATGACCCAGTGGTAGCCTGGAGCACTGGATCCAGGTGTCCTCCCGGGGTACAGGATGGAAAGGGTGCTTAGGCTGGCTGTCACTCAGTGGAAGGGAACATGCCTCATATGCCCAGGCCTTGGGTTCACCCCCAGCATTCAAAGGAAGGGATGGAAAGAAATCCTTCCCATGATGACATCCAACCACCGCTGTCATGGTCCACAGAAACCCTTCTCTCTGCACATCCCAAAGTGATGAGACGAACATTTTTAGAAAGCCAAGTATATCTGGGCTTATGGAAATGTGTGGGAATGTGTTCTGCCACTGCATAGCTGCCTTTTTTAAAGAGGAGCTGTCAAGTCACTCAGAATGGCAAGAACTATTACTTCAAATCCCCCAGAAAAGAGCATCATTAAATGACCGTTTGGAACCAGCATCTGCTCCCTCCCCCCATGCTCTGTACTTTCTGGCTTGCTTTTGAAAGGGGAGGGCTCAAGCTCAGGGAACCACAGGCCTTGTGTTATGTCCCCACTTAGACACTGAGTTTGGGTGGCCAAGGTGCCCTGTGGCCATTGGTGTGAATCCCCCATTGTAGACCATTTATTAGACTAGACCATTTGGAAGTTGTTTCCAGAGAGTTTTTGCTGGGACCAACCTAGCTTTGCAGGACTAAGAAAGGGCTTGGCTTACGTCCAGTTTCCTAATGAGCTGTTGTGATCAGACACCCAAAAGATATGTGAATAAAGTCACTGAGAGTAAATCTGCCCCTTGCTGTGGGCTGTGTCTTTACCTCTGAAAGGCACAAAGCATGGTTCCTCTAGGAGACACAGACAGATCTTAGGTCAAGCCTCAGGTCTGAGGTGTGTAGAATGCAAGATCAGAGGAAAGCCTTACCATGGAGTCAGAAGGGGCTACAGACGATCTGATCGGAGGTCGCTGACCTGTGGTTGTGTGCTCCGTCTAGCCCAGTGGTTCTCCATCTTTCTGATGCTACAACCCTTTAATGCAGTTCCTCATGTTGTGGTGACCTAACCCATAAAGTTATTTCATTGCTACTTCATGACTGTGATTTTGCCACTGTTACAAATTGTAATGTAAATATCTGATACGCAGGATATCTAGTTTGCAAACACTGTGAAAGGGTTGTTCATTCCTCAAAAGGGTTGAGACCCACAGGTTAAGAACAGTTCCTAGGACAGTTCCTAGAGGGACTTTTGGTCCATGGTGTGGTCTTGTCTGGAAAGAGGGAGGTCAGACTTTTGACAGCTGATGGCTGAATCAATGAAGTTGACTGGCTGAACTTCTTCCCCTGTGGGAGCATAGGGGTGGGTCTGGGTAGTATAAGGGCTGTGCTGTTACTCCAGGCAGAAGAGAACACTCAAAACAAAGGCATGCCTTTATGAGCACTGCCTCCTGCAGTCACATCCCATCTGCCAACTAATAGAAGGCCTTAGCCAATGTGAAGGGAAGCCTGGCAGAATTAGAGCCAGGCTGCAGATGCATCTGCCCTTGTGAGAGGCATCCTCAAGGGCAGCTCCCCCCGCCCCGCACCCCTCACACACCATCACTGCTTCTAGATCCTTCCTTCCACCTGTGAGTTAACAGGGTAGATGAGCAAGGCCCAGGTACTCACATCATGATGGACTGAAATGGACCTGCATGTCAGGTCCTGGGTACAGCATCAGCCCTGTGGACCACCAGCCCCTCCTTAATAGATGGGACACATGATTTCCCTTCCCAGTGAAGACAGGGGAACACACTGATGTGCCCTTGACCCCTGGGACCCTGCTGCCAGCTCCCCTGCTCTCCCCAACAATTTGTTCATTTGAGCTGAGCTATAGAATGGGCATGGGGGAAGGAAGCTAGAAGGTTGGGAGGGGTCTGTGCTATGACCCTATACTTTCCAAGAACAAAAATAATGCCAATGATTCCATTGTTTTTTTTTTTTTTAAACCTCTTTTTTTCCTCACTCCCTTTTCTGAACTTCATGAAGAGATTCCTGTGGCGCCGCCCACCACCGCAGCCAGCAGTGTGGAGGAACCTGAAGGTGAGACATCCCTGTAGCTGTTATATTGCCTGTGTGGTGGGACATGAGTGGGGACATGGGGTGGAGACTAGAGGCCCAGGCCCTTCTGAGCCCCTTCCCCTCCCCGCCACCTGGGCTCTGTTTTTTGTGAGCGATCCCTTCAGCTGCTATGAAATAGGAACTGCTGGACACTTGTCATAACTGTCCTCTAAGAATAGAGTTAGAGGATGTTTTACCAGACCCACGGGCCAAGGACCCTGGAACTCTTCCTTCTGGCCCTTGGATGCTAAGAAGTTGCCAGAACCTTAGAAATACTTGGGCCAAGGACTCCTCGCCTTCTGTGGGGTTGCAGGGGCCCAGGCAGAGATTGAGAGGAAGAACCCGGGCATAGGGCATAGGTTCATGGTCAGAATTCAGGAGCTCTGAGACCCAGGATGGGAAGAAATCCTATATTCACATCCACCTGTTACCTGGGGATGCAGCCTTCCCTCCATGCAAAGGTAGGTCCCTGCCACAGCTGCCAGCAGTGGCAGTGACATGCTCACCATAGCAACCATAGCTGTGTTCAATTACAGACTTGATGCAGATGCCACGAGACACCATGTGTGTCCCTGGCTGCCTCACAATTAGACGAGTTCCCGTTCCACAGCCAGATGCTCTTCTGCTGTTACTGAGAAAGCACATATATAACATGGCTGTACCATCAACTTGGGAGAGATCAGACAACTGGACTTGGGTAGTTTATTCCTATATACAGATAGATGCTCCTCGCCTTAGGATGGGGGTGACTTCTTGATAAGATTATTGTAAGTGAAAAATACTGTAAAATGCAGTAAATATGATGGCCAGCCCTCAGCAGAGCGTCCTCACCCAGCTGAGCAATGAACAAAGGGTGAGTGTTGTGCTTGTCTCGGGGTGGGTGGGTACAGCTCCCCGATGCTGCCCAGCATCACAAGTAAAGCTCCATCCCATCCAGTCAGCCCAAGGAAAGACACAAGTTGAAAGCATGGCTTTACTCAATGCATGCTGTTCCCACACTTTAGTAAATCAAGACTATTTTAGTGTCAAAAAAATCCTACTATGAAAAAAGGGTTTACTGGGCTCCTTGGTGCAGGAGTGGTTTCACACCCCCAGTTTGGGTACAGAGGGAGCTTAGAGCCCTACAGGATGTTGTGCCTTGTGAGGTCGGTACAGGGCCATATACCTGGGAGACCTGGTCCTGGGGTAGGAGTGGTGATGAGCCGCAGAATGACAAGAGGGCCCCTAGTATTCTGGGAACTTTGCTTCTCTAGTGGCTTTGTAGGGAGCTGCAAGCTTGCATACTCAGGTGGTCATCTGAACCCCCTGGCAGGAGAAGGATAATGACAAAGGCTGGGGACACCCACCACAGAGTGCCTCGGTGCTAGATGCCAGAGTGGCAGTGTAGAGGCTGGAATCTGTAGCCCACTGCCCTACTCAGCATTGTCCCAATGGAGGCCAGGTCTAGAGGACAGAAGCCGATTATTTTCTATACTGGTATTTTAAAATTAAAAGTTGTTCTTCCTAGCTTCTTGAGAGGCTAACACAGGAGGATCACTTGTGTTCACAAGTTTGAGACCAAGATGGCTAACACAGTGAGAACCTGTCTCATGAAAACCACAAACACAAACAGAAAGCTGTTCTCTCTTGCTGAAGATACGGATATTTTTTTTTAACACAGTTTTGTTTTTGCTGTTTTTAATTAAAAATTAAGTCAGAGGCTGAGGGTGTGTAGCTCAGTTGAGCCCATGCTTCACATGGAGGTTAAATCTCTACCATCAATTAATTAATTAAAACAAAAATTAGGGGACAGTAGCTTTTGAAGTAAGAAGATGTTAAAGTGGAAATTGTATTATTTTTGTATGTGTATGTGTATTTGCATGCTCCTGTGTGTGTGTGTGTGTGTAGGTGTGTGGATGTAGGTGTAGATGTACATGCATGTGTTACCACATGTCTGAGGCCCAAAGTTGGCCACAGGCATCTTCCTCAGTTGCTCTCCACTTTATTTTTGGGGGCAGGGTCTCTCGCTACAGTCTGTGCTCTCCACTTGTGGCTGGTCTATTGAGCCAGCTTGTCCTGAGCATCCCCCACCTCTGCCTTCTAATGGCTGGCATGACAGGCAGCTGGTATGCCTGCCCAGCTTTTACATGGTTCTGGGTATCTGAACTCTAAGGGTGTTATCTGCTGAAATATTTCCTCAGCTCCAGAATTTCATTTCTCTTTCCTTTCCTTTTCCTTCCTTCCCCTTCTTTCCCCCCCCCCCCTCAAGATTTGTGTCTGTGTGTGGATATGTGCAGATACCCTTCAAGTCCAGAACAGGGTATTGGACCCTTTGGAATTGACTGAACTGCCTGATGTGGGTGCTAGGCATTGAACTTGGGCCCTCTGGAAGGGCAGAGAACACCTTTAACCATCAAGACATGTATTTCTTCAGCCCCTGACCCCCAGACTTGATTCCTGGTACTTGTTAGTCATGTGACTAGTCAAAAGTGACAATGACACACCCGAATAGACAGACTCACCTGGATGGCTTTTGGGCTGCCCAGGGCTGTGCAGGGGTAGGATACAGAGCTCACTCGCCCTTGGACAATATAGATTGCAATGGTCTCTCTGTCTCCTGGAGGCTTTCCTGGGCCTTGCAAACCTGACTTTGGGGTTCCTGTAATTTCTTTGGGCTTTTTACCTTCTGCTAGAGATGGGCAGTTGAGGGGTGAGAGGGATGGTGGCACACCTGACATGTCTTCGCAGACTACAAGAGGCCTATGCGCAGCGTCTGAAGGTCCTCGGCTTTAATGAATAAGTCTGAATCAGCCACGGTGCTGGGGAACCCAGCCTGAGGCTATGGGGATGCTCTGCTTGGCTCCAGCCTCCTCTGAGCCACACCCACTCCTAAATTCTCGGAGTAGTCTGAGAAGACTTTGATTAGCTGATTACCTTTTCTGACTCCTTTGGATTTTGTGACTGTGGTTTCTTCATTTAGAACCTTAACGAATGTGATCAAAAGTGAACCACTCCAGTGCTTTGCTTGAAGAGGGAATGGGAAATCAGATTTGGGGCTTGGAGCAGTGCCTGGGGCCTCAACCCAATCTTTGCAGCCTGCCTTGGTGGGCTTTGCAAAGCAGGAGCCATTTCTGAGGCTCTGGGCCTGGCCTATGGGATGTGCTATCACAGAGAGCCTGGCTGGCTAGCTGAGACATTGAGTTGGTGGTTGGGAGGCGCCTGAGAAGTGGGGCCCTAAAGCTTCCAAACTGCGCACTCCCACAATGAGTGAGCACCCTTGAGTTAGGTCACCTGTGGAAACTCTGATTGCATTCACCTACTAGAGGGGAATTAATAAGCCATGGGTTTATTCGCTAAGCTAAGGGACAAGACTTCACCCTGAACTCAAGCCCTTGAAGAGCCAGTTTCCTTGGAAAATGTTCTTTACTGTTCTCAGGCAGGGAGGATGGCAAGGACTAAGAGGTCTGCAGCAGAGAAGGCCAGGGAGATAGGAAGCCCCCCACACAAAAAGGGTGTCATGACCAAGGCTGCCTGTGACACATCTAGTGACTGGGTAGAGAAACCGCCACCCCTGTGGCTTCGAGAAAAACACCTGGCCCTTGGCAGCTCTTGATCTGCAGCCATTTGGTGTTTTGGTCACTTTGGTGAATGAGAGCTCAGGTTTGGCTGGCTCTGAGGGCATTGCTACTACTACAGTTTCTCTCCCATTGAAACAGGAAGGGGTGGGGCCTAGTGTTCCTACCCCGGTGTCCCTGCTAGAGCTTCCTCCTCTGCAGAAACACCTGCTCACTCCTCTACTGCCCTTGACCATCAGTTTCACCTGTATTCCTTCCTGAGGCACGTGGGCCACAATAGTAGACATGCCTCACCTTGGCTTATTTGCAGAGTGCGTGGCTTTCCTTGGAGGACCATCCTGCCCGTGGCTAGCTTCAGAATACCCCATATGAATTCCTTGAGAATTGAGTAGGAAAGAGACACGCAGGGTTGCATCAAGAGCCTGTGTGAGCCCACCCACCTGACCTGGGATATGGACCTCCCTCCAAAGCCTGTGAAAGGTAGTCTGTGCTGCCCAACCTCATTTCCAAGGCTCTTCTTCCCCGTGGATGCTAGACTTGGGTAAAGGAGTGCGGAGCTAATCACCTCCTGGGTTCTCCACCTCTCTACCATGGTCTTGGGCTCTTCCCTGGCCTGGCCTTGCCTTTTTTTTTTTTAATAGCTTTTACCCCACATAGAGCCCTTTGTGGGCATTTTGCTACTGCCTCAGTAGCCCTGGGGTGGAGCAGGAGTGGCTTTCTAGGGTACCATGTAGCCTTTCAGAGGAGCCCAGAAAGAAAACTTTACAGCTAGTGTGTTGGGGATGCTGCCCTCAATACCAACAGAGGTGTGTGTGTGTGTGTGTGTGTGTGTGTGTGTGTGTGTGTGTGTGTGTGTGTGTGTGTGTGTGTGTTGGGGATGCTGCCCTCAATGCCAACAGATATGCACGTGTGTGTGTTCTGGCCAGCCTGGGCTCTCAGATCCCCAGAGCCCTGCTAATCTAAGCTTACCATTTCTTTCTCTGTGTAACCTATAATGAGAATCCTATGTGCAAAGGGCTGTGATGGGATTCTAATGCAAGCACAGTTGGTTCAGGGGTGGGCACCCCCCCAACAGGAATTAATAAAACCACAAGAACAGCTGGGATTGGAGGCACAGGCCTGTGATCCTGGTACTTGGGAGCCTGAGGCAGGAGGATCACAAATTCAAGACTCACCTGGTTACAGAGCAAGGTCAAAGCAAGCTTGAACAAATTAGTGAGACCCCTATCTCAAGGTAAAATAGCAAAAGAAGGTAAAGTGCCCAGCTCTGTGTGCTCTTCTGTCCAGGGTGGTGGGGTTGGGCAGAGCACACATTGTTTTTTGGGTTTTTTTGTTTGGTTTTGTTTGGTTTTGTTTTTACTTTTATTTATTTATTTTTTTGTGTAAAACTGAAGCAAAATTTTAATTAGAACAGCAACAGAATGCCAA